AAAAAAGGGTAAGTTATTTGCTTATCCAAAACGTTCATTTACAATGTTAATAAGTTCATTTTACAGGTTTATTATACAAGGAGGCTGTTTCCCAGGTTCAAACTGTTGGGAATATACTGGGTATGTTGTTGTTGTTGTTGTATTGAAGTTTGATTTTAAATTAGTAATGAGAAATCTCCATTCTTTGTATTTCCAATCTGAACTGAGCTGTCCCAAATAGTCCAAATTTCTGCACCAAACCAAATCATCCAGATTCCAATTCGGTTCTGGAGTTTGGATTTTGATGGTCTCTGATTATTGGTTTGGTTCCAGAGATCTCCATATCGTTGGACACCCTCTGAATGTCCTTAGCATTACATCTAGTAAAAGATGGCAGATGGGTAATATATGTTTTTCGGTTGTACATGCTGTTACATATTTTTCGTATATTACTTGTAGTAGCATCCTGTCTCCGATTACTTCGCTCGTATATTGGCACTTCAGTTCGATATAAGAACCTGACAATTTGCTATTTCCCCTATTTATTTATAAATAATTCTATGCTTATTTAGGGTGTGATTGGATACCAATTGGTAGCTTATTTAACTGATTAATTACTGTAAAGTAGATATATTGAACTAGTTTTTAACTAGATATGAATTTGTCCTGCTCCATTTGGGCCCACAAAAATTTCACTTCCGCACTGCTGTGACAGCAAAATTGTCGGCCATTCACATGCATTGTTCTTTCAATAAAAATATAAATAAATAAATAAAAAAAAAGACATGTGGTTTTGGTGGTCTTGGTTTGAAAAATTGGGAGCTCTACATGTACGGTATCCAATATGTGCAGGTGGTTTTTGTGCCTTGGGGCGTGAGCAATGAATTGGCTGAAACTTTATAACCTATTGTGGGCCCTTCACAAAACTAATCAATTTATCTCCAATCGCCAACCCAACAGTACAAATCAGTCTAAAACCAATTTTTTACTGGTTTAATTGATATTCAATCGCCCCCTTATTTCTTCAGTTATTCCATGTCTCAATCTAGTTCAAATAAAGAAATTATTGGTGTTTAAAAGTTGACTTCGTTAGGTATTTGTATAGCTGATTCCATTGTTAATCTGCTAGAATATGACTGCTTCCTGTTCTTTCATCGAACTTACATTGTTTAGTGTATGCCAGGCTAACTCCAATGGGAACAGACACTGGGAGCTGGTATTTGGGGTTAAATTATGATCAGTGGGTGGCACTTCCGGTATCTGGTCATCGACCTGCTGCTCGTTACAAGGTTGTTTTCAATGAGAATATCATTTTGTTAATTCTCTAAGCCCTCATCTATTTTCATATTTATCTGCCCTTCTGTGTTTTCATATCTTTGTATAATAAAATAATTTCATTTTTTACACTTGAATTGACAACTCGCTACATTTTTGTTGTAATTGTTTCTGATGCATTTTTTCTCCCCGTACAGCATGCATCAACCATAGTTGATGGAAAGTTATTCATTAATGGTGGAAGTCGCAATGGTAGATATTTATCTGATTTTCAGGTGTGCTATTCTCCTTACTGTTAAACATAAGTATTTTCCTTTAACCATCAAGCACCTGTTATAATCCGATGCTTTCAGGTTCTTGATCTTAAAAGTCTGACTTGGTCAACAATAAAATTGAACATGGAAGCCAATGATCTGAAAAGTAAAGATTGTACCCCTTTGAATGCTTTCCCCCCGATCTCTGGTCACAGTATGGTGAGATAGTATTAAACATTCATACCGTTGCTATTAAATATTATTTCTTCGCAACAGTCACCGTCTATGGTTTCTTTTTATGCTGCCAACTGATATTTGGAGTTATATTAGCATTTTCTTCAAATTGATCTTGGCTGATTTATCTAGTCCTAAATTTTAATTCCCAGATCAAGTGGGAAACAAAACTTCTCCTTCTGGCTGGACTCTCGAAGGATAGCAGTGACTGGGTGACAGGTTTGTTTTACTGGATGTAATGTAGAGTTGCTGAAGTTCCAAATTCGATCTGAGTGATCCAATCAAAGAATTTTTGGGATTTTGTTAACGATTTAGTTTCTTTTGTAACAAATGCCAATTTTCCCCTTTCATCCTAACCCTTTGGTTTTTTACTCTCTGCAGTACGTTTCTTTGATCTTGAATCCTACAATTGTGGTGTTGTTGAGACCTTTGGAAATGCCCCGGTAATGTACCGATCTTCTGATTTTTCATTACAATACCTGTTACTTTTCAACCTTACTAGCTATATTCTTGTTAGTTAGTTGTGAATTGATCAACTCCTGCGTTGATATAATTATGAGGTTTTATTGTGACACCGATTAGGTGAATCGCAGTGGGCAATCTGTTACACTCTTCAGTTCTAAACTTATCATGTTTGGTGGAGAAGACTGTAATGGGCGGCTACTGAATGATGTTCATGTTCTTGATTTGGAGACGATGACATGGAGTGCTGTTGAGACTACGTCTGTTCTCTCAAATTACTTGAATCCCAATACATATCCACTGAGTTGTTCTTAGTATTTTGTTACACTTGGGCAGGCAGACACCACCATCTCCCAGATTTGATCACTCGGCTGCACTACATGCTGAACGTTATCTTTTTATATTTGGTGGATGCTCTCATTCTGTCTTTTTCAATGACCTCCATGTGCTGGACCTGGAAACGGTATACTTCCCATCTTGTAACCAACTTTAGTTTTCAGATTGTATTTTTATTATTGTACCAGCCCTAGCATGATACAAAATGTAAGTGAATAGAAATTCGCGTGGAGAGAATCACTAGTGAATACAATGGATTCTTGTTTCTTTTTTGGTTATGGTCTACGCTGTTTTGTGGATTGAAGTTCGTGTCCAGAATGCAATGATTCTTTTTATGGGTGAATCGTATGTAAAGTAAAAGACAAATATTAATTGTGATTCATATAATTACTGCACCTGACAGCTTGACTAGTGCTTCTCAGAGTTGCGTTTATTTTTCTTAATGTCTTAGAAGACGCAGATAGTATTGTTAGTGTTAGGTTTCAAAACATAGAAAATAAGGACCTTTTGCAGTTTTAGGCATCAAACAAAGCGTATGTTCGGTAGATTTATCTGAACAGCTAGTTTATACCTGATGAGTTAATTGATAATAATAAGTTAATTTCCAGTAGCTGATTGCTCATGACTAAAAAGCTAGTTGGTATAATAAAAATGTTGGGCAACATTAGCTGGTATGTTGACTGAAACAAAAATATCAATAAGCAATAAGCTAGCTATGGTCGTTGGCAAACACACTCAAAGAATCATCCTTATTCCTTTTACAAAGGGAAGAAATTTAAAACATTCACTTCCATAGCAAGAGTTTGCTTTAGGTATTGATTTGACAAAATGGATATCGCAGATTTTCTAGAGTGATTTCTTGATAAAAATGAACACTATCTAGTTTATGGGAGATGGCGCTTAATTCAATATTGTTGTGCAGATGGAATGGTCCCAACCACAGATGCAAGGTGATTTGGTGACTCCCAGGGCAGGTCATTCCGGTATTGCAGTTGAAGGAAATTGGTTTATAGTTGGTGGTGGAGATAATAAAAGTGGTAAGTCGAATATGGAGTCCATATTTTCTATAATGTATTTTTTATTCTTCTCGCGTCATCTGTTCCTCCGTCTCTATTTTCTGATTTTTCTCTCTTATTCTCTTTCTGTCTATATTTCTTATTCTCCTCACCCCCCCCACCCACACCAACACCTTTGGATTTCCATTACTAGTATGAGATGGACTATTTTTCTTGCAGGTGCAGTGGAAACCATCACTATAAATATGTCTAAACTTGTTGTGTCTGTACTGACTAGTGTAAAAGAAAGAGACCCACTAGCTAGTGAGGTATAAACTTCCTTCACTTTACTCCGATTACATAGAGTTAGTATGCTGGAGAATACTAATCAGAAGGGAGTTAAATATAATGGCTTTACATATCCCTGTGTTCACTTGTGCCAGAAGATGTCTGGTGGTCTTGCTCAGTGTTTTCGTAGTTTCTAGCTGTTGAGAGAATGAGTTGGTCTTTTGATTTTGCTAGTGCGTTGTGTTCTTGTTCAGTTAGATACGGTCCATACAGATTTCAATTTATAATTCAAAGACTGGATGAAGAAGGTATTCTGGAATGATAATAAGGATTAGCCAATAAATTTTTGAGAAGATAGTGCGAGCATGTATTACGTCACGTTGTTTCATATGTCAATTTGAGTTGCAACATTTACAGTTCTTTTACATGATACACATGAATTTTTTATGCACAAAAAACTAATGAGGCTTGAAACAGGGAATTAGCATTTCTTCAGCATCACTAGGTGGTGATACGTTTTTGATAACTTTTGGTGGCTACAATGGGAAGTATTTCAACGAGGTATGGTTGTTGAAGTATGTCTATTTTCTTTATTCTTATTATTCATTTTTTCAACATGATAAGGATTATGTGATGAGCCTGGGATATGCATAATGCTGATATTCTTATCATCTTATGAATAAGTGATAGAGTGAAGGGCAATAATAACTAGATAATGAAAGAACTACCCCGAAGGGTCCTCAGGCAAGATAGCCCTGCCACAAACGTCAATATTTCAGAATAACTAATCTAAACCCTTAGCCTCCAATATATATACTAAACCCTAATAATTTAATAATTAAACCCTAAAGCCCATTTAAGGGCCTGCTAACTTAACTAATTATATTAACTTATTAACTAATTATATTAACTAAATAATAAGGATAATTGGGCCTGCGCCCTAGGGCCTAGTAGGAGCAGCCGCCGCAGCTCGTTTCAGTCTTCTAGAATAAACTTTCAGAAATTGGTCTTTATCAACTCCTGCCCGGACGGAAACAACCTTGTCCTCAAGGCTGAAATTAGGGAATTAGCCACGTACTTCTTCAACGTCCAGCCACACCACCTCATCATCCCCGTGATCTACCCATTTGATTAGAACCTGTGGAACCATTGCCCCATTGCGCTTAATCTCTCGTCGAACTAGCACTTTCTCCGGAATAAATAATGAGTCATCTCCCAATAATTCATCACGAAATGTAGGCTCCACGGAATTCAGTCCCACCGAAGCTTTTAACAGCGAAACATGAAAGACAGGATGCACCCTTGCGGTACCAAGCAATTTCAATCCATAAGCAACTGCTCCAATACGAGCCTCTACCTCCAAAAGATCGAGGTGCTAACTTAGTGTTCATGTTACGGAAAAGCGTCTGCGACAAAATTTGACAAACACTTTATCCCCTACTTCAAATTCCACGTCCCTACGATGTTTATTCGCTTCACGAATCACGCGTTGTTGAGCACGTTTCAGGTGGAAACGCAAATGGCGCAAGACCTCATCCTTGTCCCGAAGATCCTCTACTAATGATTGTCTCCTCACTTCCCCAGGTATAAAGCGATGAGGTGCACGGCCATAAACTACCTCAAATGGAGTACCGCCGACACTTGATTGAAAACCCGTATTGTAGCAGTACTCTGCCAAGCCAACCACTTACTCCACTCTCTTGGCCTTTCAGAACTAAAACAACGCAATATGTCTCAAGGAAACGGTTCAGTACCTCGGTCTATCCGTTCGTCTCAGGATGATATGCCGAACTCATTCTCAACTTAGTGCCTGCCAACTTAAATAACTGAACTTAGGAACACTGGGATACAATTGATGTTGGAATACCGTGCAAGCGCACCACCTCTCGACAGAAGAAATTTACCACAGATCGGGCGGTGTAAGAGTGTCTCAATCCCAGAAAATGACCATATTTTGAATATCTATCAACAACCACCATAATACAGTCAAGATTGCTCGAACGGGGAAGGCCCGAAATAAAGTCCAAGCTAATGTCCTCCGAAACTCGATCTGGGATTGGCAAGGGTTGTAGCAAGCCTGCTGGCGACTTGGTGTCGTACTTGTTTCTTTGACAGATGTCACAATGCCTCACAAAATCCGTCACTTGGCGCATTATTCCTGGCCAATACACGTTTGCTGCTAAGCGTCGATAAGTGCGGAATGCCCCAGAGTGACCTGTTGGTGTGGAATGGAATTCTGAAATTAATTTGGTAGTTCACTCAGATCCACTAGGAATTACCAAGCGACCTTTATAATTCCCATGAACAAGGGAGTAATGCGGTGGTGCAGACGTGCTAGATTCCAAGGCCGACACAATTTTGGATAACTTTGGATCAGACTCAATAGTCAATTTTAGTCGACTCCAGTCCATCCAAGTGTGCATACTAATGGCTGTTAATTCCACCTCCTCATGCCTACGTGATAGGGCGTCAGCAGCTTGATATGAAGTTCCAGAGCGATAAACTATTTCAAATCAAAGCCTAGCAATTTGGCAACCCAATTTTGTTGGGCAGGAGTAGTCAATTGTTGCAATAATAAATGTTTCAAGCTGCGTTGATCCGTACGAATTAGAAAGCGTCGCTCCATGAGATATGGACGCCAGCCATCACCAATGCCATCAACTCCTTCTCGTAAGCGGATTTAGCTAAGGCACGGTCTGAAATACCCTTATTAAATATTAAGCCACCGGACGACCTTGTTGCATAACCGCACCAAGCCCTCGTCCAGATACATCACATTCAACGACTAACGACAATGAAAAATCATGCATAGCTAAAACGAGAGCCGAAGTTAGTGATTGCTTGAGTTCTTGGAAAGCTTGTTCAGCCTCACAAGGCCAGACCCACTCCCGAGATGTCGTTTTTTTCAATAAAGACGTGAGAGGAGAGACAATCTTGCCATGATTACGAATGAATCGGCGATAGTAACCTGTGAGGCCAAGGAAACCACGCAGGCTACGAAGAGAAGCCGGACGCGGCTATTGGAGCACTGCAGCGATTTTTGTTGGGTCCATCTGCACCCCATCTGGCGAGACCACATGGCCGAGATACTCGACAGATTTCTTTCCAAACGAACACTTCTTCGGATTTATTGAAAATGAATGTTGTCGGAGATGGCACAAATGCTCCTGCCACGTCTTGCTATACACCAGGATGTCGTCAAAAAAGACCAACACAAAGTGACGGAGATAAGGCCTGAAAATATCATTCATGATGGCCTGGAAGGTAGGTGGCGGGAGCATTAGTCAACCCAAAAGGCATTACTAAGAACTCGTAATGACCTGAATGTGTGCGAAACGCTATTTTAGAAATGTCCGCTTCAGCAACCCGTATCTGATGGTAACCGGCCCGGAGATCGAGCTTGCTAAACCACTTTGCCCCATGCAGCTCGTCTAATAATTCCTTGATGATAGGGATAAGATATTTATCCGGAACCGTATGTTTGTTCAACTTGTGGTAGTCCACACAAAACCTCCAACTACTATCCTTTTTGCGAACCAAGAGAACAGGACTCGAGTAGGGGCTGCAACTTGGCCGGATCAACCCAGCTTCCAACATATCTGCCACCAGTTGTTCCATTTCATCTTTTTGGAAATGATTGTAGCGGTATGGTCTCACTGAAATGGGTTCGGTACCCGACTCCAAGTTAATATGATGGTCAATGTGTCGCTTAGGAGGTAGTCCGGAAAATGGTGTTAAGATCTTCGAAAATTTCGCTAAAAGAGACGGTACTTCATCCCGAGTTGGTGAATGAGGCTCGATTGACACAGGACAATGCGATGGAGATTCTGAATGATCCATCGACGATAAAAGCCATGTTTGCTCACCGTCTGAAAATTCACGAATTGCTATAGCCACAGAAACAGCTTGGCGGGTGAACGAGGTATCCCCTCTCAGAAGAATCGTACGACCATCTTTAACTAATTCCATTGTCAAGTTTTTCCAATTTGCTTTCACATCCCCCAAAGAAGCCAACCAAGAGACACCCAATATTATATCCACCCCTCCCAATGGAAAAACAAAACAATCAACCATAAATATAGCCGACTGCAAATAAAGAGGAAGGGCGCGACACAATCGCTGTGCGGAAATGCGTTGACCATTGCCGAGCATCACAGAATACGTCGATGAAGGCTCCACATGTAATCCCAATATATCTACAACCCTTTCCGAAATAAAACAATGGTTAGCGCCACTATCAACCATAGTCAGGAGCTTGAAATTCTCAAGTCTGCTTATCAGCTTCATCGTATGGGGACCATCAAAACCCTTGGCTGCAAGGTGTGAAAGTTGTAAAGTTTGGTAGTGGAGGTTCACTTGTCAGAGGGTCTGGGACCTCTTCTACCAATTCAGAGACAATGGGTATCTCTGAATCTAATGGTTGTGAAAAGTCCAACTCCTCACCCGCGAGCATCACATTTAGGGAACGGGCTGGGCAAACGTGTGTGTCGGACCATAGGGTTGGCTGCATCGAAAACATAGACCTTGTTGCCGATGGGCCTGGTACTCAAAAGGTGTGAGTTGACGCACTCCACGGAACTTCTGAGATGGCATAGTGAATCCTGCATTAGAGGATGACCCTTTTTGGCTGGCTCCATAACTTAGGGTGGGGGTCGAGCGAGCTTGAGGCTGTTGGATTTGTGAAGTATGCTGGAGAGGTGACGAGAACCGTGGACCCTGTAATGGGCGGCTAGAACTTGAGGAGGGAAAGTACGATGAACAAGGTTGTCCCTTACCCGATGGGAAGTTTGCAAAATTTAATTCACGTTCCACTTAACGAGCCAATCGAATGGCAACATACACATTCATGGAAGGGTCATCCTGTATACGGATTCGGATATCCTCGCGTGAACCACCTAAACTACGCCTAAAAACTGACCCAAATAATGAGCGTCAGATAAATCAGTTACCTGAGCAACAGAAGCTTCAAATTCAGCAATATAGTCATCGATAGAGCCGGTTTACCGCGTGACCTTCAAAGCCTCATATGCATTCACAGTCGTCAGAGTGCTGAAGCGAAACAATAGTTCTTCAATGAACTGGGGCCAAGCGATAGTCGGAAAATGGCGCATTAACCCTTGAACCCAATATAATGCATCCCCAGACATGGCAACGAGCGCAATTGGAACCTTTTCCGCCACTGGAGTGTGGTGAACAAAAAAAAATTGCTCAGCCCTGGCTATCTAAGCAGTTGGGTCAGATCCATCAAATGAGGGGAGGTCAATTTTTGGTGGCCTAGACAACGTAGTGGTATGGTTCGTGGTCTGAGATGTGTCTGACTCGTGGGAGGCCCTAGAATCGGATGTTTTCTCCTTCTCCTTCATGATGGCAGCGAACATAGCCTCGATAGTAGAAAATTTTGTACATACCTCGCCAAAACCCTTCTCCATCATCTCCGAACGGTGTTCCACCCTCTCGAAACGGGCGTCCATCCTTGTTTGCATATAAGGATCCGACAGGGCAGGACCAATTTGATAGAGTGAAGGGCAATAATAACAATAGATAATGAAAGAACTACCCTGAAGGTCCTCAGGCAAGATAGCCTGCCACAAACGTCAATATTCCAGAATAACTAATCTAACCCTTAGCCTCCAATATATATACTAAACCCTAATACTTTAATAATTAAACCCTAAAGCCTATTTAAGAGCCTACTAACTTAACTAATTATATTAACTAAATAATAAGGATAATTGGGCCTACGCCCTAGAGCCCAGTAGGAGAAGCCGCAGCTCGTTTTAGTCTTCTAGAATAAAGTTTCAGAAATTGGTCTTTATCAATAAGCTTGGGTGGAAGTGGCCTCCAAGGGAGCACAGATATTATACATCCTTATATTGATTATAGTAGGCATGCTGGTCTATGATATATGAAGGAACCTAGTCAATGTAAAATTGGGGGTAAGATTTTCTTGATTTGGATTCATAGAGTTCCTCGTGGAAAGTTTGACAGATGCCAATACCCATTCCCATTGGACCTTTTTCTTTGCATATGTTCATAATTAAGTCGTCTAAAATTGAATGTGCAAATTTATGGTTTGTGCTAAGTTTGTCATATTCATCGTAAGCGTCATAACTGTTCCAAATATCCTATATTTTGTTTGAATTTAAGTATTAAATGAGAAAGTCTCTCTAGTCTAGTATTTCCGCCACAGATTTGAAGATTGTTTAAAAGAAAATGCTAGTAATTGCTCTGTTAGAACCACTCAGTTGTCGGCGGTATCACGGCCAAAATAAAAGACAGAAAAGAAGCTTACGCGAACACAAGAGAACATGATCACATGATCTTGTTTTGGTGCTGATGCATTGACAACTTTTCTTGTGCTATTCTATTTCTTAAATAGAGGAACACAAAGAACTAAATAAGGCCTACAAATCAAGATTATATCGAAACTATAATCATGCCAATATTCACAACTAATCTAGGGAAGCAACTAAGAAAACAAATAAACTAATTTAGGTGCACAAGAATTATATCCTCAAATAAAATATTTTCTACAATCTCCTCCTAAGCCTTGTGCACATTGCTAACATTGATGAGGCCGATTTTAGAGCGCACTTCATGGAACTTGGTCCTCCCACGCTGTAACGCTTTACTTTTATTTCCGAAAATCAGAATAAATTTTTCAAATTTATTTCAAAACACCTGAGGTGCTACTCATTATCAAGACGAACTTCAATACTTATCCAATATTTCAATAATCAATTAGTCTCAATACTCAATCCTCAATCATCATTTCAATTATCAATACTTCAGTCATCATTAATCAATACTGCAATGCAATACCCAAATCGGGTTTCTGAAATTCATAATATCTAGGAAGTACACTCCCTATTCCAAAATGCAATAATATCAAAAGTAAGTTCAACAGGCGGAAACAATAATCAAATAAATAGACCACCACTCGCGTCCCTCCGCCGTGCCCGCAACACTAACCTGCATCCATGAAGAGCAGGTGGGGATGAGCACAAGAGGAAACAGTAGTGCTCACCACTATGCAGTAAACGTTATTCACAATAATGCAGTAAACGTTATTCGCCGGCGAAGGGTTGAGAGGATGGGAAGCGTTGCTGCTCATTTTCTCCTCTCGCGTACACACACACGGACGCGATGGTGGAGAAGACGATTGAAGGGCTGGATTAATTGGCGATTAAAATCCTCTCCGGGTAAGGTGCAATTTAATGATGATGATGGGGGAGATCGATTGCAATCTGCTCGATTTGGCTGAGAGGGAGATTTGGGCGAGATATGAGATGGAGAAGGGAGTTATTGCGGCTGATGAGTGAGGAGAAATCGAGAGAGAGATAGGGTGACTTGTACGGGTTATTGGAAATTTCATGGGCAAAACTCTTTAAGCTATTTGGGCCCAAAATGCCCCAATAAAGTGTGCCAGAATAATATTAGCAATAATGATCCGAGAATCAAAAACAAAAATTGGGTTGGGTCTTTGGTTCATCAGGGACCGAAAATGGACAACAACGAGTCGAAAATAATAGTATTCGAGGTTCGGGTTGAAACGGCTCGAAAACGGATTAAAACGGAAAAAGTGTGATTTACGCGATTAAAAAGAAAATTGCCGAGGCAAATAGATAAATCTAATATAACTAAATCCTAAATATTTATAATACACATAATTAATATACAACCATATAATAATCACATTTATTAGCCACATAACAATTTATATCAACTAGACAAATAAGACGAACAATTTATCTCACAACCGAAAATTAAAATAAAATAAGGCAATTAATAATAATATAAAAATCTAGAAATTCTAATAAACGAATAAACGAACAGGGCTTTACACACGCGGCTTCGTCAGAATGTCGCCTGGTTGTTCTTCGCTCCTAGTAAACTCGACACTAATCAAGTCTTCCTCTGCAACTCCCGGACAAAATGATATTTCACTCGAATGTGCTTGCTCTGTCCATAGAGTAGAGTACTGGGTTCTTGATTAAGGCAATGACAGAGTTGTTGTCCACCCTTAGCATTGGCGCTCTTGGTGCTGATCCCTGCACCTCAGCCAAAACGAGCCACAATGCTTGACTAGCAGCGTTTGCAGCTGGTATGTATTTTGCCTCACAGCTTGATTGTACCACCACCTTGTGCTTCATGGATTGCCAAGTGATCGGGCTGTTGTTGAGAAAGAAAATCACCGTGGTTGTGCTCTTGCTAGCATCAACATGCCCTTGCAACTGAAATTAGTCTAGTGAGCTTCATTCTCCTAAAAGGCTCAGACTAAGTGATCTACCAAAGATGTGCTTCACGGCAGCACGGTAATTCTCACGTGGGTCCTCCAGGAACCGACTAACATAACCAATAGAAAAAGCCATTCCTCCTACGCGAGATACAGTTTTCCTTCATGCTGCAGCGACGCCTGAGCTTCTTCATACCCTTCCTATGCCTTGTTCAGTCTCCCCAGTTCGCGACCGTCATGTTCGACACGTTAAGCAGTGTCTTGATCTCAATTGAGATTTGTTTGAACAGAGGCGGCAGGGTGTGGAGTATCTTTGTGACGATCTCGCTCTCCGCCAATTCCGCTCCAGCGTGGCGAGGTGTGCCGCCATGCCGTTCAGGCGCAACGCATATTTTCTGACAGTTTCGCTGTCTTCAAAAGCGGCTAGGTTGAAATTTCGACATAGCTGCTTTGTCGTCCTCCTGACGCGGTCATCCCTGACCCTCACGGTCGTGATTGCGTCTTAGGCCTCCCTCGCCGTCTCCTATTTGGCGACCATCGTTACCATCTCCAGTGGCACCGATCATCTCTCCTGTAGATCGGCGCCGCCATCCTCGATCACGCTCCAGAGAGTCCTAACCTTCAATTTGACCTTCATCAGCAGCGTCCAGTCGCATTAATTGGTCTTGATGAGAACGTGATAGCTACTCCTACCGCTCACCTCATGCATCACTCCCTGGATCACAACGCTGTCCTTTGAGCCTTCAGCGTTCTTCTTCCCACTCATGGTCCCAAGTACGAGTAGTAGTGATGCCACTTGTTAGAACCTCGTCGGAGAGGCAACACTCGGTTGCCGATATCACGGTCAAAACACAAGACATAAAAGAAAATCACGCAAAACACAAGTGAACACGATCTTGTTTTGGTGCTGTGGCATTGACAACTTTTCTTGTGCTATTCTCTTACTTAAATAGAGGAATACAAGGAACTAAATATTTACATGGAAACTATAATCATACCAATATTCACAACTAATCTAGGGAAGCAACTAAGGAAAACAAATAAATTAATCTTTGCCTGCTTTGTTTGAGAAAAATGTAAATCTGAACCATCTTAAAAGGCGTGAATTGTAATGTACTGTTAAAATGAAGTAGTATTTTATCAGGTGCCAAATCCACCAAGCTCCTGCTTAAATATGCTGTGTACATGTTATAGAATTCCATGCACTTCCGGTTTGTAGATCATGGTTAACCTTAATATTTGTTCAAGCCTTATATGTTGTCTTCCTTCAGTTCATAATTTCATTTTATCTATTATAAATTGGCCATTATGGAAAATGTCAATTGTAGGTTTAACCTATTCTATATTAGTTGAGCATCAATGCTCACCTGAAAAACATTACTGTAGATAAGTGCTTTGTCTTGGCTTGTGTTGATTTAAGACATGCCGACCTAAAGTTAGAAGTCTCAAATATAAAGCTATATACATCATAAAAATTACTTGTCTTCCCAGAATTATATTTATTATGAAATTTTAAATCCTAGTTCCTAGTGTCTATATTTCAGCGCTTTGTTCCCTTCTCCGTTGGTTCCATCATTATTGTATATCTTCCTTGGAATGCAAGGCTTTTCAGCTTTTTATATCAATTCTTTTCACGCATTTGGGGACCATGTAACTGAAAAAGAGACTGTTTAACATGAACTCACAATCTTTACTAATTCATATTTGATTTTGGATCGTGCTCTATCCTTCATTTTCCCTTTGTCCTTGTTTTGGGGGTACTATCCTATTTACATGTTCAATTTGAACACACGGGTCTTTAATTTTGTCTTTGCTGGCATTTTAAGTGTGCATATCCCTCTTTGGTCCAAACTGTTAATTTTCATGTCTCAAGATTTACTAGTATGGCCTTCTGTTTCTTCTTGTATAGGTATTTGTTATGAGGGTCAAACCAAGGGACTCACTAAGTCCTAAGCTATTGCAATCACCAGCGGCTGCTGCTGCTGCTGCTTCAGTTACAGCTGCATACGCATTGGTAAAATCTGAGCCATTGGATATGACTGAAAAAGATGATCCAAATTCTAAAGTAATCGCCATAGATACCACTCAGCAGAATCTTTCTGTACAAATCAATTCACTGACAGAAGACAAGAAGGCCTTGGAGTTGTCACTTGCCGAGATAAAGACTGAGAACTCTGCCATCAAGGCTAAGATTGAAGAAGTTAATGGAAATTATGCTGAGCTGTCCAAGGTATGGTTAGCTAAAAAAAATGCTTAAAAGTTATTTGCAATTGCAGTTGGTGAAACTTTGTTACTGTTCATGAACTGGCTGCAGGAACTTCATTCAGTGCAAGGACAACTGGTTGCTGAGAGATCAAGATGCGCCAAATTAGAGGTGTGCCGTTTTTATCTGTGGTTCTCTTATTTTAAGACATTTGGATATTTCTTTAAATCTTCTCATTTGCTCGGGTTAGCTTGGGTTTGATTTTCACAGAAGTGAAATAATTATGATAGAGTTAAGGCCTTAAGAGTTGAGGGTGAATCAAATCAGGAAATAGATAATTGATAACATCAATACCGAAATTACTAACTCGGGATGAATCCAGGTCCATATTAAGGCGGATACTTCGGGAAGAGTACTGCCCGGCTTAAAGCCACCAATCCTGTTGAACAAAAGATAATAATATTGTGGTCTACTTGAACAAATATAATTGGTATTCTAACCTTACAGGCCTAAACCCAATTTATTTACGTAATTAAAATAAAATATGACATAATTAATCATCAAATCTATCTCTTAACAGACTAGGCCAATGTTTTCTTAATTTATTTATTTATTTATTTATTTTTTTTTATTTTTTTTTATTTTTATTTTTTTTTTAATCACCGTTGCGTTCTAGCCAAAGTTTTAAAAGGGGGAAAAAGACAGTAATTTTGGCTCCATTCGGATGTGAGAATATAAAGGAAATGATTTCGTTTATTGAGGTTTGCATGCGAAAATTTTTTAGATTCGTGTACTTCCATTTTTGGACTATTTTATGCGGCCATTGTCTGTCTCATGTTGGTTGGATTATGGAGTCATCTAAACTCCTTCCCCGAAATCATCTTCTGAAATTCGAATCCATTTATCCTGATGCAATCTGATTTCTCTTTCAATGCATTTCTTACCATTTTATAAACCACACTTGGTAAAATAGTTTGTTCTATCTATTATGGTAAATTCTATCCATTATGGTCTTTATCAGGCACAAATAGGGGAGCTACAGAAAATGCTAGAATCACTGCCATCATTAGAAAGAGAGGTTGAGTCCCTTCGGTCTGAAAAATCTGCATTCGAACGTGATTTGGAGCTTGCTGCAGCTGTCCAGACACAGAGGTCTGGTGGTATTTGGAAATGGGTTTCTGGTTAATAACTGAACCATGTCGCTTCAGCCCAAAGGTCGTGGGCCATTAGTGGGTAATCGTTATACATTCATTTGGGTGCATATACTTGGCTACAATGAATTCTTGCAGCTGTTCTCTTGTACGATTATTTGAGACTTGGCACGAATGGAATTGTATTTTGAGTTTTTACGTTATCGGATTCTCAATTTTCGTGGATGAAAACATATGTTACTTTTTTTTTCTTATGTTGTTTTGTGTAAGTACTTAGAAAGAGAATGATATGTGTTATGGCTATACAAAGTTCCATTAGCAGTCAATTCTCCCGTCAAATACGTAAAATAAATTTTAATGGTTTTTTGTGATGACCATCGTGCTGAGTCATTTTGTTTTTTTTTTCATTGCGAGTGGTGATACTTTGTTTGATTCAGTTAATTGATTTAGTCATTGTGAGAGTTGTCTGTATGAAGAATTCCACCAATATAGCCAGTCCCAGACCCGTCAAAACCTCCACCCAACACTATAACCCGCTTTGGCCACCTTTTTCTTAGAGCCGAAAGCTAGCCGACTTTTCACTTCTTTCTTTCTTCTTTCTTTATATTCATTTTTTATTTTTTGGATTTTTCCAAATTTTTAGTTTGGGATGTTTCTTGTTTGTTAGGGTTGTCAGAAAAACCCACAGGGTCGGGTAAACTCGAAAATATCGGGTCGTGTGTCGTACATGGGTTTATTAAAAATCCAACACCTGACCCGTTCACCCGACCCATTTACCCAATGAGTTTTTTTGCTCGACCCATCCTTTTATCCAGCTCAATTGCCTGCTGTAACGCAAAATTCGTATTATTGAATTTATAAATACGAGAACTTCGTACAAATGGATTTCAATGGATCAAATGAAATATAGTGGATTCTAAATCTCTATTATTCCTCTGATTAATTTCTTCAAGAGCAATCTTCAAATGGATATGAGACTTTTGGAGACGAATCTTCAGTTTGATCTCCGCCGGTCTTGAATTTAGATTTAAATAACGTTTCCTTGAGGGCTTGATAGCTTGATCTCGAATCAAACGTCTTGGTTTCCCAAGAACGTGAAGAACACGAGTCCTTGGTTTTCGTTGCAAAGTTGATCTTCGATCTTCTCTACGCCGGATTTGACTTTAATAACGTAATTCGGAGGCTTGGCAGCTTGTTTCCGGATTGAACGTCGGTCTTGAGCTTGAATGCGCTTGAATCTTCCTTCGAATCTTCAAGAACGCCTTTGGATCTTCAAGAACACTTGTTGAGAGAATTCTCTAGAGCTCTTGAACTTGGAACTTGAAATATGAATATGAATTGTTATTTTTCACCTTAGGGAGGGTCCCTATTTATAGGTGTTAGGAGAGAGAGTCTTGGAAAAGAAGACTTCATTTTGATTGGTCCATAATTTCCAATATTTATTTATTAAAGAGATAATTAGAAGATGGACTCTTGGAAAAGAAGACTTCAATTTGATTGGTCCATAATTTCCACTTATTTATCTCTTTAATAATTATTTAAAGAAATAATTATTTATTTTACTCTCCAAGAAAATGACATGTGGCATTCTTTAATTGGCCTTCAAAATATACATGTGGCATTCTTTAATTGGCCAATAATATATATTAAATAATCAATTAATTAACTATTTAATTTAGGAATTAAAATTTGATTAATTTCCCAAATAAAATAGAAAATTATTAAATTGATTTTAACATGGAATTAGACACTTGTCGCCATTTTATTGGCTCAAAATTTAATTGTCTACAAATGCCCCCTCGAGACTTGTTCACGGACGACATGTCTTTGAGTGAATAAGTCACGATTTCATTTGATTTGGGTTTGGAGGACCGGATAAGAATTTATGGACTTCTGAATACGAATGGCTGAAGCTTAAACCATTTAAACTAGAATGGCCCACATTCTTTATTTATTGACAAATTAAGGCCCAACTTATAATTCTTTCTAGCCCACTTGCACAATTCTTGGATTGAATCAACAGCAACTAGAATTGATGCCACCAATTTAGACCGACACGTTTTTTTTCTTTTTTTTCATTAGCTATTGAATCAATTTCTTTGCTTATTTTCCATCACAGCAAATAAAAGGCACCACATAAATTTCTACATTGATTGGCCCATATGTTGCCACGAGCCCATGTAGAACATACAATTCTCATAAATTTGTCCACCTAAATTATTCTTCAATCGAGGCCTTAAAAAAAAACATCAGCAGCAACACAAATAATCCTTTTTAACAGCAGCAACACTTCAAACTAGGATCATGTTCTTAGTATGACTATGCCATTGACAGCTCGCGCAGAGTCCTCCCGCTACCAAATTTGGTGCTTAACAAGGCTTCTAGAATTTAAGTTTCATAGCAGGACCCTTAAATTCTTTTCCTAATCAAACTCAAACTCCTCTCCTATCTACCAGTTCTTCAGGCTGCACGTCCCTTCTCCACATCTATAAAAGGAGCTCCATCCATTCCTGTTTTCTCACATTAGAAGGCCAAAGAGCAGGTTAATTCTGTCCTTTGTCTTATTCTTCCATGTTTTCTGTTCTCATTCCTTTCTTTTATTTCAAGAGTATGAATTTGTTAAAGCTGTATAATGCTATTCCTTGTCTGCGTGCTGCCATTCTATTCATGTGTTTGCTGTTGTGTTTGAATTTGGTAGACTACGTTGATAGAGGTCATCTACATTCATCTCCCAAGTTTCTGACCACGAGATGCTCGATCAATTGCCGAAGACGTATCAACATGTTCTTCTTGCCATATTTTCCTTTGCTTCTTCCCTTTTTCTGTCACGTTTATGCCACAGCACACCGTTCGGGCAGAAACGGGGGTATTCAATTACTGTTAAGGCATAAACGAATCAGTTCGGTTGCTTTCGGGCTGAAACGGAGTTGTTCGAGCGCTATTCGGGCTTAAAAGAACCAGTTCAGAAGCTGTCTGGGCGAAAATAAATCAGTTCGGTTGCTTTCGGGCTGAAATGGAGTTGTCCGAACGCTATTCGGGCTGAAATGAACCAGTTCGGGAGCTGCTCGACCCTCTTTTATTTATGAAGTTGGTTAATTTATTTTTCTTTACATATTGTAGGTACTCGTCCAATTTCCGAAACATCCGAAGTTCAACCATGGTATATTTCAAGGACCTTTCTTCCCCTTCCGGCACCAACACTGATGACGAGCACTGTTCTATAGATGAAGGCACGACTCTAGTGGTCTTTCCACCTCTCATCAACGACTTCTCACCTTTATGGCCAAAATTGACGAATACCTTCAACCTCAAGGAGTGGTCTCAAAAACTTCCATTCATCAAGAAGACAAAGACACGGGCATTGAAAGCAATCTCATCACCACCATCAGCCGCTAGACAAACAATCGCCACTCTCCACCTTGGGCCATAGAATCATCAAAGGCGACGCCATATGAAAAGGAGATCCCACCACGTTTCTTTGCGAGTTCCAACACGTCAAAGACCACTAGGAATGGGCCAAAGATATTCTCAGCCGACACAAGGACAACGCTCAAACAACCACATGGGGAGAAACATCAATTTTGCCGCTCAACATCAACTTAGGACGACGCATTTCAAAGGCCAAGCTATACGGAGGAACCATCAACCTTGCCGCTCAACGTCAACTCATGATAGCACATCGCAAAGGCCAAGCTGCCCGAATGAATCATCAACCTTGCCACACAACGTCAAATCAGGATAGCGAATCATCAACCTTGCCGCTCAACGTCAAATCAGGACAGCGCATCGCAAAAGCCAAGCTATCATACGCCAACTCAACTTTCAGAACTACGCATTTGAAGTCCAAGTCACGAGTAATCATTACCGATGATCAAAGGACATCATGGAGAAACAAGCCATCACCACTATCATGATTTTCCATCACATACATTGCCGAGAAAAGACATCGATTAACATGACGTGGACAACAAGCTCTTCCGAAACTCAAGCACCTTGAAACCACATCAACTCATTTGATCAAGACGACATAAATTAACTTGACATGCACATCCTTCCACAAAAGAAGTACTTTGCCACAACATCAATGAACAAAGGCCATGAACCAAATCAACACCACATAGCAAGTCATGGTTCAACAATATCTTTCAGCAACCGAACACACACAATGGAGTAACTCATCACCGCATAGCACTTCGTCGGGCGTAGACGATCAACATTATGAATGACTTAGATCATGGAGATATGCCATACGAATTTCAAAGACATGAAGCTCATCTATCAAAGATCATAGATAAACTTTCTACCATCAAAAAGCTTGTGGAGTGAGTTTATACCATACCAACCAACTCGAGATCTAACGAGACATAATGGAGCAATCATCCAAAAATTGAGCCAACAATTTAAGGGACAACTCTAAATCATAATGTGATTCAAAGAACTTTTTCTTTTAAGGGAAAGTCGTGCACAGTTTATACTCGTGTGAGTCAGGAGTAACATGCAATTTAGTCTCATGCGTCATGGAGAATTTTAATTTGAGGACTTTAGATAGTTTATACTCGTATCAAGGAGCTTTGTAAATGGTTTAGACTCATATGTAGGAGTTTTTTTTTTTCTTGTAAACAGATTATGCTCATGTTAAGGAGCTTTCATTTGATTTAATTTATAAACAGTTTATACTCATGTTAAGGAGCCTTCGTTTAGACTCGTATTTAGGAGTACTAATCTTCTTTCATGAACATGACTGAACTTAGAATTTTACCCAAGCTGCCTACGTACCTTTTAAAAGGATCAAGTCATAACGTAGTTCAAAGTAACATGAATTTGTTTAGGAGGGGGTGCCGTACACAGTTTATACTCATGCGGGCCAGGAGTGACTATTCTTTAACCACTTTAGACAAAGTAGAGTATTAAGTTTAACCACATAATACCTTAGTGCGAGAATTAACAGTTTAACCACGTATATTCACATTGGTGGAGAATTTAGCAGTTTAATCACATGCAAAGCTTTTTGGTGATTACCGTTCACAGTTTATACTCATGCGGGTCAGGAGTTTCTTCAGTTTTTGTTTTTTTTTTTTTTTTTTTTTTTTTTTTTTTTTTTTTATTTACATACATGTACATTCACGCATAATAGCGTTTCAAGAACTTCCCATTGATAGGACCAATTACCAGACCGTCTTCGGCTACTACCTTGTATGCGCCATTGGTATAAACATCTCTCACAACATATGGACCATCCCACTTTGGCATGAACTTATTCCCAACACGATGTGTCATCACAATCGGCCTTCTCACAGCAAGAACTAAATCACCAACTTGAAAGGAGCGCGATCGAACTTTCTTGTTAAATGCCTTAGAGAGACGTGCTTGGTAA